AAATAAATTCGACTTCTGACAAGCATCAGATAACGCCATTCATTATACAAGTAGAGAAACAGAAAGGAAAGAGATTGTGGAATGGGAAAGTAAGGAAGATGACAAAGAAACAAAGAGGAACGTATGGGGACATGGTGTCTGATAATTTCACAAACCCTGTAAGAAAGGAAAGAGATTGTGGAATGGGAAAGTAAGGAAGATGACAAAGAAACACAAAGCAACGTATGGGGACATGGTGTCTGATAATTTCACAAACCCTGTAAGAAAGGAAAGAGATTGTGGAATGGGAAAGTAAAGAAGATGACCGAGAAACAGATAGCAACGTATGGGGACATGGTGTCTGATAATTCCACAAACCCTGAAAATAAAGTGGCGGAATGACCACAAATCATGCTTACAATTCTTGTGCCCTTTTCATGCAACGTTCTCTCACTTGTTCATATCTTTTTTTTTTCTGGTCATCAGTATTTTCATCGATTAATCTGACTCAGATATTATATATGTTTATTTATAAAAATAATTTTTTAATTCAATCGATTTCATTTATAATATCAGGATTCGAACCCCAAACCTTAAAAGATCTATTAACTTATCCTACTAAACCAACTAATTATCACTTCTTCACCGTGTTTAACATGAACTAGCGATGCCTTTCCACTTAAAATTATTATTTCCCAAATTTTTTATATATAACCCAAAGATTTTTATTATTTTTAAAAAGGGTCATTTCAAGAGTGAATACAAGAAGTAAATTTGGCGAGTTACCGGTCTGATCAGTATCACTATAATCCAGCCGAACAGAGCAATCGTTTAACAGCCAATTCTTTAATAAATTTGGTCTCAGTTGAATTAAAATAATCAATCACAATTAATATTAGAAACTGAAATATTCCTCGTCCGATAAAAAAACAAAAGACATAGATCCTAATTGTTGAGAAGACAGGCACTTTCAATGTTAGAGGAAGACAGAAGAGCCGACATCGAAAGCTATTTTGGCTGCTTCAACACTCCTTTTGCTCCATTCAATATTACCTTTATTATTATTATTATTATTATTATTATCATTAATTTGGGTTATTTAGTAATCAGAATTAAATATTTGAAAAAAAAATTGAATTGCCTTTTTGTTTTATGTTTCATATTAATTTCTTTATCCCTAATAAAATAAAGTTTTCAAGTTTTAGCAGAGGGAATCAAGGGATAATAATATTGAAAGGTATGCACTCTAGCCTTTATTTATCACACTGTTTTGTAAATTGAGGCCCATCTATTTTTGCATTTAAATCATATTATAAATGAAAAAAAATTATCAAATGGATTAGTTTCAAGTGGTAAGCAGCTTAATATCACTTAAGTAAGGTATCGGGTTTGAGTCATTATGTATGCAGAAAATTCCCGCTGGAAGACTCACCCACCAAAACCAGGTGTACGACCCGAGTCGGTCCAAATTAATTAAGACGAAGCCTTGAAACTGGAGGGCAACAAAAAAATATATATGAATTTTTTTTCACTGTTTGTTAGTAATAATGCACATTCTTGGTAAGAATTAGGGGTCATGTTCTATCAGATTGAATCAAATGAAAAACAAAATTAATCAAGTTTATTAGTATCATTTTATCACTTAAATTTTGTTTATTTTTTTGAGTCGAATATAATTTACGAAATTTAAAATTGAGTAAAAAATATATTTGATCGAGTTTCATTTCAAATTTAAACATAATTATTTATAGTGTTATGGTACTAATTATTTTTATATATGTAAATAAGAATTATAATGTAATTTGTTAAATCAAATATTTTTCAAAATTATATAATATATTTATAATGTTATTTTTCTAAAGAAGAAATTTTAAGGATAAAGTATTGATGAAAAGATAGAATTTGTAAAGAATTACAATCAAATGATCAAATTAAATAAAATAAAAATTTGAAGGATTGGATTATGAAAAGAGTAACTTTATTACAAAAGAGGATTTGGAGTTATAAATATACTCTTTGAGATAGGTATAATTGGATTAAGATGAACTTAAAACAAGAGGAAATTGAGAGACCCAAATAAACAACAAAATAATCAAATTACTTAACGAACCATAAAATTTACGCCATTTTAATTTTTTTTATTCTATTCAAAATAATCAAATTTCAACTCAAAATTTAAGTTTACTCAAATTTAAATAATTTCTCAAATTCATTCTCTATTCTTCAACTAAATTCTCATTTTTCATAAATAATTGAGATAATTATAAGTATATATATGTTCAAAATCCTTTTTACTCATTAATCTGTTCGAATCTACAACCTCTAAAAAGTAAAATTTAATTTTTTTATCGTTCGAATCTACGACCTCTAAAAAATAATATTTATTTTTCTATCATTGATATCGCTAAATGATTCTAAACTCTTATTTTAAATACTACAGCAAATATTTAACATAAAGATCTCTAGAAGATACAACACAAAAATATACATTTCAAGAAAGATGAGGAGCAAAATTATATGAAAAGTTGTATTAAAAGCATACCGATCAACAAATCCATAATGAGATATGCAAAACCAACAACTCTTGTTCTTTGGTATTTAAGAAACATTGGCATTATTTGAACTTTTTGTATGCTAAATTTCACTTTCTTTTGACACCTTTTAGCTGTCTTCTGCTTAGCTCAAGGTCAGAGAATTAATGGGTCTATAGATTTCCAGGTGGTGAATGTACATATATATATAATGTAGATTTCCAGGTGTCTTTGATCAAAGCTGGTTTGACAATGAGATGGATTAAGGTTTTCTCATGCCTTCTCTAAATACGTATCCTTCAATTTCATCTTTACTCATTAACAATTCCCATCCATCAAACCCTTCGCTATTATCCTCCTGATTCTTGTGTCTTCTTCTTTCTTCTCCTGTAATTGCCCTAAAACCTGACATGGAGCCTTCCAAGGCATATGGAGCCGTCGAAGAATCCCATAGCAGTGAATCGGGGTGGACAATGTATATTGGTTCCCCCATACACGGCGGCAGCGACGACGGTGGCAGTGAAAAAGCTGCTGCCGATGATGATGATCAAAGCGATCATGATTCAATGGCGTCTGATGCTTCTTCAGGTCCAAGACGTCAGAGCCATGGAAGTGAAACCACTAAGCATGATGAAGACGGTGAGGAGGAGGACGAAAGGGGTTGTTTCTTGGACAAGAGAGGGAAGAAATCAATGGAGAAACAAAAGCTTGAGGCAATGAGAAACAAACAAGACGAAGAAGTGAGGAAACATACGCCATTCAAGGCCAAACGAGCTCTATCAGATCCTTGTCAAACAGGTTCCAAGTTAAGACCAGGCATCTGGTTCGGTAAACGAAACTAGAAACTGCTTCCTTTGTTCTTTTTGATGGATTTGCAGGGAAAATGCTTATCAGAACTCAGCGTAACAAATTATATGTTGTGTTATTATATGTTTTGTGTTGTTATTGAAACTTCGATGGAAGAGTTCGATCAATCAATTTTTTTAACTCAACGCGTACACATTTTGCAGGTTGTGCGATTATTAAAATTAAATTCTTTAAAAAGAATAATATTCTTTTTTACTATTAAAATCACTAAATAAATTTAGAATTTAAGTGTTGAGATCATTCAAATATGTCGTATAAATCAAACAACCTCAATGATTAAAGGATGCGTCTATAAGAGTGTTGATTGAAATCATAAGTTGGTTGAAATTCCAGACTAAATCAATCATAAACCTACTTGACGTATATGACTGTTATAGGTAGAGAAATGACAAATCCTTGGGCAAATATTATAAACCACGAGATTTGTAGAATTGACAGATTATTTTTGTTGTAGAGATTAATAAAGCCTAATAGTGAACCATACAGACAATAACAAAAACAAAGTCATATTCACGCATTAGGAAGCTCCAATGGAGTGGGGACACATTGTCGTGCACGCGGGGTGAAGGGAATTTTAGGCAACACAGCCAACAATTTAGACAGTTCCAAGACGGCCACTCCGTTGGCCAACTCAACAACAACAGGTCTCGGTCGAGTTGAGTGGAGGTTCCGGACCCTGACCCTCACCATGGCTCGTGAGACCCGAACCAAACAATTACATACCTTTCAGGCATTAGGCAATGCTGGTTTTGGTGAACACTGGGCTTCACCAGTTTCGGATTCTTCTGCATTACCAAAAGAATGAACCTCACTTAAAATCAGACGGATATATAATTTTACGATAGGGACAAATTTCAAAAAAATTTGGTGGAATAAAAGTATATTGTTAATATAAAATAAAAAAATATCTAAAATATATGATAATTTCGGTTTCATCAAAATTAAAATAACTGCACACTTCTGAGTTCTGTTTCATTCAATAATTAGTTAATCATAAGAAGAAAACATAAACCTTAATTTTTATGTGGTGGATGAAGTTTTTATTAGAGATCAACAATTTTCATTCTATAATGTAGTTTATTGACAATAAACATATATTTTATAGATGTAATTGTTCGAATTTGAATCTTTTAAAAAGAAGAATATTCTCATTTATCATTTGGACAACTTCACTGGTATTGTTGATCTGGGATGGACCCATAAAGCCATCTCTATATATAATTAATTAATAAGCTGAAAACAGGGCACGTGAGCAGTTGTTGGATTTCTAAGCACGTTTCATTTTCAAGGTTTCAAAAGAGCCAATCTCATTACTCAGTTGGGGCTCCACGGTGCTGGTTCCTTCCCTATAAGCCCTATTGGGTGACAATGTTGTTTTCAGCAGGCCATGGAAGATGCATATGCTGAGTTTCTCTTCTACTCATCCAGGCCTTCCAGTCCCAGATCCCAATTATACAATTGACAACCACAATGAAAAGCAATATATACATATATGTATGTGCAATGCATACAAATTTGTATATAAATAAAGTAACTGAATAAAAACTCTAATACATGTATATGTATGTATCTGTAATACCAAATTAACATATTGGGAAGCACCAAGTTCAAATCTCAGCCTCATTCATTCCATATAAATGTGATTAACTAATCTTCATGTCTAGTCACAATTAAGCAGCTGCATGGATCATATATCCTCCATACTCCAAACGTTTCCGTTATTCCATTAAATCCACGATGTGTGGTTGCTGCTGCTGCTGCTGTTGACTGGGAAACAGTTCGCCGTTGTCATGGTTAAATGACGAAATTGTAGAGTATGTTTCCATGGATTTAGCAGGACTATTGCAGGCCAACTGGCATGTGATTTTTTTATGATCATGTAATCCTGATTTACTGATATGAGAAGAACACATTTCTGCTAAATCAAACCCCACATTGCTAAATCCTCAAAAAACGATATAGGTTTTAGAGAAGTGCAATTCTCTTTTCCTCAAAATCAAAATTCAAAATGTTGTATTTCAACTCATAACACACACCAATGAGAGGTGAAGAAGATCAACAGGTAATAGAGTTTTATAATTATATGTTAATTTGTATATGAATAATGCATATATTGTTGCATATATTTGAGCAGCAGCAATATATTATCGTAACATGAACTAACCTATTTCCCCACTTAGCATGCAATTTCTTGATGAAGAGTTGTTCTTCAGGAGTGATATTGGCTCGACGTACGTCCGAGCGAAGATAGTTCAACCATCGGAATCGACAACTTTTTCCGGTACGTTTCAACCCTAACGAAACAATTTATTTTGTATCATTAAGGTTACTATGTAAAACTGAAGTAGCACTATGCATGTTCTTCAATAAATTAGCTTTCTCGTATGGTTCATGAAAGCTTTATAAAAGAAAGCTTAAATTATATTTGAAATATATTTACCAGCGGTTCTAGCAAGATGATGCCAACGACCTTCACCATGCTTAGCAATATAGTTGATGAGAGAAAAGAAAAGGGAGATGGAGAGAGTGTGATGGAGAAGGTAGATGGGGTTTATATAGGAAAAAAAATCAAGAAGATTTTTAGTAGTAAACTTTGTCTCTAATTATCATTAGAGATGAGATATTTGACCTAACTATTTGTTAATTACAGCACATGCATGCATGGCCAAATACCATTGCATTCATGGCCTCATAATATATACACATATATAATAATTCTAGGGTTAATATTGAATAACTTATCACACTTCAATAATTAGTAGAGAAGAGTTATTGAGATATACGTACTCTTAAATTCTCTCTATCTCACTTTGTTATAGTCCTAAATACGTTAAATTTAATACAAGGTCCCTATATTATATTTTTATGTAATTTGAAACTTTTAGTTCTCTATGAAATTAATTGTTTATACTACCAATATATATAAAGATAATTTTATTTACATACCTAGCCATTTATAATATATTATAAATAAAAATTAAGTTGAGATTAATTTTTTTGGTATAATCATATCTGATAGTTGTACTTCAACAAAATATTCAATATGACACGTACTTTTAAAATGTCCTAATGCAATATTTGTCCTTTGACAAACTGTTTAATATGATACATGTATTTTAATAAAATCTCCAATGTACTACCTATACCTTTAAAATTTTCAATGTGGTACCTATACTTTGTCAAGAAAAAAAATCCAATATGGTACCTAAACTATCAATTTGTGTATTATTATGGTACCTGGATAATATCGTTAAATGTTCAGCTTGAATCGGAGATTACCTGATTGCTGGGATTTATCATGCATTTGAACTTCATCGATACCTGTATATTCTGCCGATGAACAGAAACTAATGTTAGAGCAACTAATTAATTACACAATAAAGTTTATAAGATTTGTTGTGGAGCTTGCATGCTCCTTGGTTTAGTTTCACACGTATGCTAATATTAGACAATGAATAAAAAGTAAAATAAAAAGGATATATTACCTTGTTGTTGACCTTCGTTTTCTATGGGGGTTTCAAGTAGATCTTTGTCTTTGGCCAATTGAGTAATCTCATCTTTCTCATTATCTATAAGGGAAAAGATGCACATCAGATAATAAGGCAAACACTCACTCACATCAGATAATCTGGCTGATTGTCCAACTCCTCTTCATTACAATTATAGATGTCACAAGAAATAAAGCTTTTACATCTTTAATTCCACGTATGGACAGAAAAGAAGAGAAAGTAATACCACAATAATACAAAAAATTACGTGATTTGACTATGATTGCTAGCACCAAGGGATAAAAGAGGTCCAAAGATTAAAAGGAAGCATTTGTCTCTGTACTAAGAGACTTGCTTGGAGTGCATATATGTGTACAATTTGGTTACTGAGATGAAAGGGTGTTTGCCTAAGCTTAATTAGCTCTGGGTGCTTTTCCTTTACAGTGCTTTGCAGTTTGTACCATTTGTAGATAAATCTGCCTACTCTTTAGTTTTATAGGATGATGAAAAGAAATAAATGGATCAAAAGAAGTATTACCTGGCTGTTGGTCTTCATCTTCTACGGTGAATTTAACTAGACCTCTATTTTCTGCCAATTGGGTCATCACACCTTTCTCCTTATCGACTGGGGAAAACATAAACTTCAGATAATCTGGCTGATTTTCGAACTCTGTTTCATTTCGATTCTAGATGTTAGGAGAGAAAAAAAAAGTCGTTCTTTGCATATTATAAACACACACCAAATCAAGTATTAGATTGCAATAATTGTTGTAAACAGTCCTCTGAAATTTTCTGATGTAGGCATTAAACACCAAAACAGAGAAGATAATTATTCCTGTTAATGTTAAACTCAATGATCATCTTTACTCTCTAATTTGCATCAAGACTGATACTATGACGATCAAGGAAGGGATCTGACTCTTCATCTTTTTTAGAGGTGATAGTTTTGGCTGCCTCAGCAGCATCTTCCACTTCATTGGCCCCATGAACATTGCAAGGTTGAGAGTGCAACATATACAGCCCCCTGACATCCCGCCCATGATGGTTATGCAGCAACTTCTGTGGCTCTATGCTGGTTCCTTCTACTTGCTTACAAGTGTGCGTTCCGCGATAAGTAATCTCAAATATTCTTGGGTCATCATCTGCTCTGTGTTCTTGGCCAAACAACCTTGGGCACGATGTGTGCACCTGTAGTAGCTTCTGCAATCCAGAAAGGATAAACAAGGTCTAGGATTTCTAGAGATAGTAGTGGAATAGAAGTTGCAAACCGCTATCGTTTGAAACCATAGCTTAACTCAATTAACATATATTTATATAACCAAACATTAAAATGTTAACAATAAAGTATATACAGTTCAAGCTTTGCAAGCTAGGACTTTGTCAAATAGGTGTTTCAATTTGCATGGTTTAGAGTTGATGTGAAGCATGTCAAAGGTTAATTAATTGCTCTTTAATATATAAACAACTAGCAAGTATGCTTTAATCTGTTGGTTTGGATATTAGGAAAGTAGAATTGGCAAACCTTGGATATTTTTCTCCGAGTATTTGTTTTAACCCATATTTCCTCCAGCAGAAGTCATCTTCAGAATTTACCTTCGAGTCTGTTTCATCCCTCACTCGGACATGCTGTGTAAATCTTGGCAGAGTTTTTCTGAATATATGAAACAGAGAAAGAAAACATAATGAACCTATATTGCATGAGATATTAGTTGTATAAGTGCTTTGATTTTCGTCTTATATATACCTTTTCTTGGAGGCGTCTAGATTGAACTCATCCAGTTCTTTCAAACCACGGTTAGAGTCTCCACTCCAAGTTCCAGTACGAGAAAGAGGGATCGACTCTGTCAACTCCGACGTTGTGACTTCTAGTACTGTGGCTCTGCTCCTGCTGTCAAAGAGGTAATTTTGAACTTCAGTACTGAATGTGCCGTCTCATATGAATGCTTGGATCCGTTGGACTAACAATTAGCAAGTTTCATGAGAAATAGGAACATTTTGATAAACTTGGAGTTGCTTGGCTAGCTCTAGTCCTTGTGTTTGCATATTTATCGCACTCTTTTGAACGCTTCACCCATGACAAGATTATCGTATCGAGCAAACACATCATGATCAAGCTCATATGAGAGGCCAACTTCATTGAAAAGCAAAATTATCAACCAACAGAAGAGCAATCAGGCTCCTTCGGAGCCATATTTCAGTGCAGTTGGCCAGTTGCCCCCCTTAAAGGTCCAGTTATTCCACACCATGCTGATCGGCAAAGCATGTTGTGGTACAGTTTGGTTCTATCTAATCACAGTACTAATCTCAATCTCATTGCAGTCATTCCTAAACTCACCACTAAAGTATCAGTGTCCCATCACCACTAATTTCAATCTCACGTAGCTAATCTCACCGTTGTGCCAAACATGGCTTAAGGATTCATTTATCTTTTGTTAGACATTAATCAAGTTATATTTTGTATGACAAAATGGCAATGGATAACTTATATTACCAGAAAGGACAGGAATTACACAGTATTAGCTACACACACACACACACACACAAAAATCTTACTAGCCTCTCAAATAAATACATTTTCTGACTCAAATTGAACAACTGTGCTTCAAAAAATAAAATAAAAAATGAACAAGATTACCTGATTGTTGGGATTCGCCTTTTGTTGAAGCTTCAGGAACACCAGCAAATTCTCCCAGTTTAAAATGCATCAATAGGAGGAGCATACTTGTTTTTCAAAAGAACAGCAAACTAAGGATAACAAATCTAGCAATTTTCATAAGGATAATAAACCAAATTTTATATTACCTAGTTGTTGGCCTTCATGTTGTATGGTTTATTCAAGTACGTCTCTATCATCTACCAATTGGGACATCACATCTTGCTTATTATCGATAGGTGCTATCAGTAAGCAACTTGAAATGCTGACCGGTGCAGGAAGGTAAAGAAGCAGCAATCTTTTTAAACTTGGAAGAAATAATTTACCTGACATCACCGGCTTGGCGGATGAATGACTTACAAGGCTTGTGACTTGGGGACAGTCCTCAAGAATTATCTCCTCTAAGTTGACAAAATTTTCTAGCAAAGTCTGATTGAAAATTTCACTCAGCCGGGGGCATGTATGCAATGCTAGGAATTTCAACTTAGACATACATTCAACTTCATTTGGTCCTCTCCAAATACTCTGCAAACTCTCCATGTAATAAATGCTCAAACACTCTAGGGACTCGAGCACACAGTCTACAAAGCCAGGGTCGGATGCATATTGATCCACTTCTTTTCTTTCATAAAGCACATCTCCATCAACAAGTGTTTCCATTTCATTACAGTCCACCAACAAGCAAAATTTTAGCCACTTCATATTCTCGATCCCGAATTCAGATAGATTCACAGCGGTTGCATGGTGGTCCAAGAAAAATGAAGTAGAATATTTCAGTACCTCTTTTATTTCAATCGGGATGTTTACACCATTCACAAACTTCAATCATTTGTCCCAATTTCTGAACTCCACTTCAACTTTATGAGGTACACGAGATATGATTCTTCTTTTATGATGACCAACAGTAAACCTAAGCGTGACAAGGAAGGATATATCCATGATGCCTTACCTAAAAGCTCGAATTCCGGCAGGTGCAAACTACGATTTCTCAATGTTTCCGAGTTGCATAGTGTTCTGCCCTGCGAGAAAATAGAGAGAAAAAGGAACAAGGAGAGAAAGATAGAGATACGAGAGAATTGATTTTTCATTCAAAATATGCATAACGTTTCTCGACAAGGTACTCAGTTTTATTTGTTTACAATGATACTGAAAATCTATGAAATGCCAGGCGATTGTCCTTGTTAACAAACTCTATTATTCTTCTGCAAGTATATTGGGCTTCCTTGTCTGGCCTAATCCAACAGCATCAGGTTCGGCTGATGAGAGTTTTAATTCTTCCTCGTGCCTCTCACGTGCACCATTGATACAATTTGCCAATTATGCTCCTTCAATCCCTAACCCTTGACCATCAATTCCCAATCCCTCTTCGATTCCTCATCATTCTTCTTCTCCTACTGTGACAATACCCGCCCATTGAGACGATCCTTGTCCCCAAGGATCAAATGAGGGAAATTGGCCTTTGAGAACAAAGACATCCTCCCAAGCATCATGCGTCTCATCCAGATTCGCCCAACGTATTAAAAGTTGAGTCACCGATTTGTTATCACAATTAACAATACGTCTGTCCAATATTTTAGAGTGTTCTATTTTGAATTGACCATCTTCATCTACTGTAGGAGGATCAGTTGTAAATGTCGAGGATTTACCAATACGTTTTTTTAGAAGGCTAACATGGAACACTAAGTGCAAACGCGATGTCATAGGTAAGTCTAGACAATATGAAACTTCCCTGATTTTCTCTAAAATCTTGTATGGGCCATAATACTTGGCTGTCAATTTAAAGTTTTTGTGCAAGGCAAGGGAAGTTTGCCTGTAAGGTTACAATTTGAGGTAAACCTCGTTCCCAACTTTGAATACTCGTTTTGATATGTTCTTGTCCGCTTGCTACTTCATTCAATTGCTAGCTTGTTCAAATTTGAGGTAAAAATATTTTTATTTTTAAAAATTCTAAAATAAATTATCAAGATTATCAGGGCTTGACACGTGTCACTTAATTGTTAAATTTAACGGATTTTACGGTTCAGGCACTTAAAAGTGCTCCGATGAAAACGGTAGCACTAAAACATTTTTCAATATAAAATTCAAGACATTTTTTTTTTATATTACGCCTAATTTAATATATACTATGTGTACGGGAGAGTGTATTGAGGGCAAAGACAATTGAATCATGGTTTAGACTTAGGTTTGAGCTACCGTTAAGCTGATTCGGATTAATTCCGTTCGGATTTATTTTCAACACGACTCGTTTAACTCAGCATTGAACTCTAGTAAATAGGCCGGACAAATTTGATGCAGAAGATATGAAAGTTTGAATTTTGCTTTTGAGAAATCCTCAATTTTCTGATGTTTTGAATCTGTTTGTTTACGTGTAGGAAGGCAGGGTAAGGGGAAAAAATATAATCCATTAACATAAGATTAAAAATTATTATAATCTTATTAATTATTTAGAATAAATTATATAACTGTATTTCAATGGCAGGAAAGAAAGAAAACAAAACTATATGCTACTTCTCTCGAAATGACTAATAGTGGAGTAAAGTAACATTGTATCCGATGACTGCGTCCATTTCTTTCATCGAGTAAGTCCTAGCCAGGCAATACCCACGAGCCAGCCTGAACTTTCCTGTGCCTCCGACCACCGGCATCTCTCTCTCTTCTTTCATCACCGGGTTCCGACCGAGGACGCTGAAAGTGCTGCCGTTGTGAGGCCCCGCGGTGAAAGCATACGTAAGCGTCATAAGAAGGCTCCACTCTTGTTCCAGCGATGACATGGCGTAAATCCCCTGAGCACGCCCCACCGACGTCGAGTTTATGTTCGGGGCGACCGTCAGCGGGTTGTCGATCACCGAAATGGACCCGAACGCCGCCTCCATGGGGTCTTGGCCCGTGAAGTTCGAGCGTCCGGCGACGCGGACGGCGGTCGGATGGGGTCCTCCGACAATGTCATGCATGTAAAACTGGATCCGAGTCACCTTCTGTTTCAACGCAGCTGTGTTGAAGACAGACAAAGAAAACGCCATGATAACCAAAAACTTTGTCGCAAATGCCATGCTTTAATGGTTGAACGATCGATGCAAGGCTTAGGGGTAATGGAAGATGGGTTATATAACGGAGATGTTTGCTCATAGTTGACCGACTTTCATCATATATGCATGAATTTCAAAGTAGATTTGGAAAATGTGCCTAATATTTGGAATTTATTCTACACGTTGTGGAAATTTAAATAATATATTATAATCGTTTTTTTAAATAGTCAAAAGCAACTACAAGTGGTATTTATTTTAAATTTTCTTAATTTATGGACAACGTATACACTAGGGACAGAGTCATGATCAAATATTGGGAGAGACAAAATATTTAATTTCAAAATAATAAGAACTTATTATGTATTTAATCTAAAAATTTAGGGGGCAAAAATCCAATTTTACTTAAATTCAAACTGATAATGACCTGAAATGCTATTAAACCATAAATTTTGCCCTATATTTCTATGTCTCTTGTATACACGCCCTACCAACAAAGCTATTTGAACTCGAGATCTCTAAGAAGAAGAATATTTCTTTTACCACCGAAGTCATCAAATGAATTCTTTCAATTACATCTGATTATAATAGAATGTACACCAGATCTAATACGTATTTATCGGTTAGATTAATTATTTTAATAACGAAAGAATTTAAATAAGATAAATTGATAATTTAAATATTAGAAATTTTAAAGTGCGTGGAAGTTTCCATTTCAAAAGTAAAATGAAACCAAACAGCACGTTGTGCTTCAAAGAACATTTTTATAGGCGAAGACCAGTGGTTGTTAGGTATAAGAAATGTTTATAGTTGATTAAATACTTAAATTCTTTAAGCCACTCGTATTTTATTTGCAAATAAATTCATTTAAAATATAGAATATCTTAATGCCACTTGGTCCAATTTTATTTACCATATCAATCCAAAGATTTTGGAATTGTTTATTAAGAGCCAAAAACCATTGACTTTAAACCCTCGAGACACGAGCACAGTTAGGTAACCAACATGGACTTAGATCACCGACATAAAACAAAACAGCATCATTTCATCATCTTTACAAAGCAACTTCCCAATGTGTTGTATAAGAGTAAATAAAAAAATAATTATAACCTTTACAATTGGATTAATCAAATTACTAAAAACGATGATTAATGATTATAATTACGGTTGTAAATTTTGATAAATGATTAATTATTAGTTAATTAATTTTAAGGAATAATAGTACAATGGTTGTTTTATGTTCTTTTAAAAGTTTGTCTTTCACGAGCTTGCCCACATTGGAAGGGATGGTCCTACTGACCCGCTCTTCCATCACATTCCAAGCGCAGTGCTTAGCACTTTTGAGTCTGATAAAGCTAGTATTAACAATGATTTATTTATGAGAAAATCGCCTCAGTGACCAAAAAAAAGTTATAATATACGATTTTAACCAACTTTTTTTTGGATTTGCCAAAATGACCAACAAAATCGCAACGCGAAATAAAAATCGCAACGCGATCCCCAGAATCGCAAATCAGTTTCCAGAATCGCAAATCAGTTTCCAGAATCGCAAATCAGTTTCCAAAATCGCAACGCGATTCTTGAAAATCGCGATGCGATAGTACAAATTCGCATTGCGATTTTCCATAATCGCAACGCGAATATGAAAATCGCAACGCGAACACATAAATCGCAACGCGTATCCGTAAATCGCAACGTGTATCCGTAAATCGCAACGCGTATGGGTAAATCGCAATGCGTATCCGTATATCGCAACGCGTATCCGTAAATCGCAACGATAATACATAAAATCGCAACGCGTATCCGTAAATCGCAACGCGATATTTAAAGCGCCATTATAATCGCTACGCGTATTTTATTTTCAAATTACAAAAAGAATATTAAGACAAAATCCCGTAATCGCAACTCATAACCTAAAACCTAAAATCACAACTCAGTCCCATCTCCATCTCTCACTCTCTACGGCGAAGAAATCCGTCCCCATCTCCGAAGATTTCCGTCCCCATCTCCGGCGAAATCCCTCACAACCATTCACGGTCAGAAATCCCTCACAATATTCAGAAATGGAAAATCAACCTCCGAGGGTTAGTTTTTTTAATTATTTTTATTTTGAAATGTTTGCATTATTGTAGGTTTTTCATATTGAAACTGATGATAAGTTTACTGGTCATTTCAATAATAGATTAACCATTTCACTTAGATTTCATTTCGCGTTACGATTCTGTCGTTGCGATTTTCATTTCGCGTTGCTATTCTCTCGTTGCGATTTTCAAGTTAGTATTTGTCTTTTTCTTTGTTCTGTCTTTTGGTTGAAGTAATGCAATCCATTCAAGTTTCAATTTGCAGAGAGTCGCAACGAGATAAATGAAAATCGCAACGAGAGAATGACTGTCGCAACGAGAGAATCGCAACGCGAAATGAAAATCGCAACGAGAGAATCGCAACGCGAAACCAAAATCGCATTGCGATTTTCATTTCGCATTGCGATTCTCTCGTTGCGATTTTCATTTCGCGTTGCGATTCTCTCGTTGCGATTGTCATCTCGCGTTGCGATTCTCTCGTTGCGATTTTCATTTCAACCAAAAGACAAAACAGTGTTGCAAATTTTAGTTTCAAGAATAAACTACTACTTTTTATGTTTATTGTTTTTGGTATATCTTCACAGTGTAGTTTTTGGTATATCTAACTTGGTATGTTTATTGTTTTTGTAGAAATTTTTTTCGGCTCAATTGACCTTGAGAAATAAAGTCAGCCTGGCCACTACAATTGCAAAGAAGCTTTCACCTGCTCAAAGACAATTGTTTGAGGAAACCTGCTTCGGGCCATGGCTGAGAGTACAGCATCCGGGTGGAGATGCTAATTTGACCCATTTGTGGCTTCAGACCATGACATCAAATCTACCCGACAGTATACAACGTGGTGAGGAAGAGATATGGTTTCATTTTCCACCAGCGTATACTTGCTTTGGGCGGAAGGAGTTCTGCTTAATCACTAGTCTACGATTCGGACACGATGATGTAGGCCGGTACACTCGTCATATCGCCCGCCCATCATGGTTATCCCGGGTTTTTCCGGATGAGTCAATGGAGAAGCCGAACCTACATGTTGACGACCTGAAGAAATTATTTAATAAGAAAGCTGGTTTCACTCGGATGGAAGACGTCGATGTTGTCCGAGTATGCCTTCTACTACTTGTGTATGCTGGCTTTTTAGGCAGAGAGGCCAGACAACCTATTCATCGGGAGCTAATAATATTGGTAGAGGACCTGAATGCATGGAATCTGTTTCCGTGGGGTTCGTATATATGGAAAGCTACCTGGACTAAGTTGTCGTCTGCCTTTGATGACCGCAAAAGTTTGCGGGGCGATGGGTCCAAATACACTTTGTCAGGCTTTGTTTGGGCCTTTAAGGTAAGAATTTCTATATAATGTTTCTAAAATTATAATTAATTATTTAACAATTACTAATTTTGTTATTATATTGTTTGTAGATTTGGATATTCGAGGCTTTCCCCAGCATGCGTACATATGCAATAAAAACGTCAAATGATATTCCCAGGGCTATTTCCTGGAAGAGGAAAACTCTGTTGGATTGGGAAGACTTAATACCATATGTCACAATAAATAATGTAAGTTAACACAAATACTTTCATATAATATATAAACAAGTTATTAATAGTAGACGTTTAACTTTGTTTGAGTTTTTATATTTTAGGAGGCCAACATTCTCAGAAGTGAACTGCGTGAAAATGATGTCGAGCTGCAAAAGTTGATTCAATAGTTTAATTGATTGTTTTTTGATTGTTTAATTGATTTGTAAAAGTTGATTCAATAGTAGATGATCGGAAATAAGAATTATTGCTTATTTTTTGATTGTTTAATTGATTTGTAAAAGATGATTTGTAAAAGTTGATTTGTGTAATTGATGCGAACATAATTCTTATTTGTGCTTGTTTAATTGATTGAAATGTAATGGTTGATTTTGTTGATTTCAATCTGCATTATGTTGAAGGCAAAAATGACTATCGCAATGCGAAATGAAAATCGCAATGCGAAATGAAAATCGCAACGAGAGAATCGCAATGCGAAATGAAAATCGCAATGCGGAAATGAAAATCGCAATGCGTTTATAATTTCGCATTGCGATTATCTCGTTGCGATTTTCATTTCGCATTGCGATTTTCATTTCGCATTGCGATTCTTTCGTTGCGATTTTCATTTCGCATTGCGATTCTTTCGTTGCGATTTTCATTTCGCATTGCGATTTTAATTTCGCATTGCGATTCTGTCGTTGCGATTTTCATTTCGCATTGCGATTTTCATTTCGCATTGCGATTTTCATTTCGCATTGTGATTCTCTCGTTGCGATTTTCATTTCGCATTGCGATTTTCATTTCGCATTGCGATTCTCTCGTTGCGATTTTCATTTCCGCATTGCGATTTTCATGTTGGGATTTTCATTTCGCGTTGCGATTGTATTTTCCGTGTTGCGATAGTCAATGCATGCCTAATAGTGATAACAACTGAATAACAAGAGTTGGTTAAGTCAAAATGGTTGGCCTGAGTCATTAATTCAACTGAAAATGTTAAAAGTTCACACATAAAATCCACATAATACAACGTTTGCATTTAAAAATCACCTAAGTTAACAGTCTCAAAAGGTGAAGCCAATCGTGATTGGATTTTAAGATGATTGCCTTTGCTTGACACCATATGAGCTTTGGATTTTGATGAGGATCCATATTTTGGTAGAGGAAAAGATGATTTGATGGCACTGGTGATCCACATGTCAACCTTGTATGACCACTTTCCTTGCACCGACTACATGTCGATCTCTTCTTCTCTTCACCCTTAGACGGTATACGATCGTGACTTTTTGGTCGGCCAGGTAGCCTTCTGTCCATGGCTGGTGGCAAAACTGTTTGTAAGTCATCTGGTATGTCCCACTCAAAGGATGTGGAATAGGGTAGACAATCTCGGCATAAGTCTGTCGATAAACTTCTGTAGTGTAGCAATCCATAGCGTATGCGCTTGAATCATCTTGGTTTAAATGAAGAGCAACTTTTATAACATGGCCACACGGATAACCAGATGTTT